ACACACACACACACACACACACACACACACACACACACACACACACAAAGGGGGTCCGAAATCCCCCGACAGGTGAGTGCGCTGGGGGGGCCCGGCCCCCAACCGGGTGCCCTGCTCGGCCAGGCCGCACGGGACCTCCTATGGGCCCCTGCCGGTCACCCGGGCGGCCCGGATCCCCACTGAGGAAATTAAGGCAATAATGGGCAAATTTTCTAATCTCTCAGATATGCTAGTAAACTGGGGTAACAAAACGTAGGGATGGTGGATTCACTCTCAAGGGGATAGACCACCGGAACTCCCTAGGATTAAATGGTTACCTCTAGAGGCTCCTATCAGGGTATTAGGGGTGATTCTCACAGCCCAAGGGAAACCTAATTCGAACGATTTATGGATGTCTTCACCAGCATTATAAAAAATGAAGCTGTGGAAAAATAAACATACACCTATATTTGGCAAAGCATCAATAATCAATAATGTTGTTTTAGCCTCGATTTGGTATAAAGCAATTCTATGGTCACTTAGTAAGAAAACTACAAAGGAATTACAAAGGCAACTCACAACTTTTTTGTGGCGAGGAGATCATGAGTCACCACACGTGATCCCAAGAGTAGCCTGGCAGACCTTAATCCAGCCCAAAACTAAAGGGGGCTTGGGGCTTATTGACCCAAAAATTCAATGCCAGGCCTTGACACTTCAAGTATTGAAGCCTTTAATCTTAGCTACGGATCTTCCATGGCAAGATCTGGCATTGGAGCAAATTCGTAGACTGGCCCCCCAAACTACCAAGGAAGTGCACTCTCTTACATGGGTGGAAGATAGGTAATGGACCATTCCTCGTCCCCAAATGCAGCCTACCAGGTTAAGGACAAGAGGTGCGGTTAGGGAGACCTAAGTTTGGATGGTTTTTGGTCTAGTGTATTGAAATTCTGGTGTGAGTTGCATTTACCCAACAAGTCCTCGCCGACAAGATATGAGGAAATCCTACGCCAACCATTATTTGGCAATCGATGGATCACAGATCAAAACGGGAGGGTCTTCATAAGTTCTGATTCCCTGTGGTCCACGTGGGTCAAGAATGGAATAATAAGATATAAAGACCTGTGGGATTCTGAGAACAAGAATTGGAAGGCAGTAGAGAAACTCAGGAAAGATATTAAGTATGCACATAAACTTTTGGATAAGTTGGATGAAATCCTTTCAGTCATTCCCTGGCCTGGATAATCGTCTTAAAAAAATACCCTGTGTTTCGGGTTGCAGACTGGGTGTGTATAAATCAATAAGATGATTCCAAGACAGTAGGACAAATCCTGGATGTACATGAGGAGGGAGCCTTTGTGAATATTTTCAAGATCCACAAAGATAATAGGATCTCTAAAAGAGATCAGGATAGGGTAATTTTTTTCTCCATCGACGTAATGTACAGGGTGAGGACTTTATATGTCACAACAACAAAGGAATGGATAGTGTTCCTTCCCCATCTTCCCATTCCGGACCTTCCCCTGGACCCTGTTGACTGGATATGGAGTGCAAATAGGAGGTGCAAACCCCTGAGATTACAATCCTTGTCAGGTAAGGCGACTTATAGGCTATTGCATCCCAAAATAAAAGTCCCAGAAATTTTACAAGACAGATGGCAAAGGCACCTCAACATCTATGAGGATTTGCTTAAGCCAGTAAGGCCGTGCCAAGGACTCAGGGAGAGGCTGACCAAGTTTGCATCCTTGCAATGGCAGATAATGCATAGGTGTTTACCAACGAATGACTGACTAATAGACCACTCCACATTAGAACAGAGGGGAGTGGCGTTACCGTGGTGCAACTCCTGTGTACAGACGTTTCCCAGAAGGAAAATCAGGGAAACAATTGAACATGTTTTTCTGCAGTGGTCGGTCTCTGTCTTACTATGGCGTCGATGGGAATATGTGTGGCGAAGGTTAACAGACCTGGAATGGCCATGGGATTGGAGGGCAATCCTTTTGGGGCATTGGAACCCTCTGCTGATCGAGCTATCTAATTTTCAACAAAATTTCTTTCATATGGGAAGGAAAGCGGTCTTGTGGGCTCTGTGGCACAAAAGATGCATCAACAAAATGGAAGGAGTAGAAATTGAAAGTCAAGAGATGGCAGAAATAATCCAACAGTTTATCCAAACTGAAATCAGCCGCCAATGGGATAAGATGAAAACAAAGCTCATAAAGTTCAAACAAAAAATAAATATCAAACAACAAATTCAAAAATTTAATTTGGAATGGCTAGGGGATCCTTCAGGGGAGAAACTGGGGGAGGTAGTATGGCCAGGAGGGGAAGGGGATCAGGTGTCGTTCAAGCGGGATTACCAGATCACCTTTCAAAACTGGTTTGATATCCAACCAGAAGCTTCCTTGAGATCACCTGAGTGCTTTGTTGATTCCTTCCCTCCCTCTACACTTGCATTGGTGGATCTTGAGTGGTTGGGGGGGGGAGAAGAAGGATAGGCTCCAGGACTAGGTAGTTCTAGAGGAGCTCTGAAGAGGGACGCTAGAAATATCATTCTCATCAGGCGGTCAGAATTTTGACTGACGAGGCTCTCCTACCTTCAAATCCGTTTTTTAGCACCTGCAACAATTTTTTATGAGGATGGATTGGTTCCCTTTTTAATAAAAAGAAGACTACACAGGGGGTAGCGAGGTAGTGGGCCTGGTTATCAAAAATAGAAGAGATTTAGCAAAGGGACGCTGGACCCGGTTTCCAGCACAGGGGTTAGTGAAACTATTTCTCATCTCATCTTACGGATTCTCACAATGTAAGGGACACTGGACCCGGTTTCCAGCAGGTGATGGAGCCTTAAAAAAAAAAAAAAAAAAAAAAAAAAAGGATTATGCACCGAAAAAAGA